GATGCGAGGATCACAGTTTGAGGCCAGCCCAGGCAGAAAAAGTCCATGAGAGTCTGATTTTCACTTAACCACCAAAAAAAGCTAGAAGTGGAATGGTGGCTCAAATGGTAGAGGGTCAGCCTTGAGCAATAAAGCTAAGGGACAGTGTCCCAAGCCCTGAGTTCATATCCCAGTACTGGCACACATACACAAGAAAAGAGGATTGTTGTGAAGATCTAATAAAAGACATGAGAGCATTAGATTAGCACAATGTTAAGCCTATAGTAAGAAAGGAAGAGTGATCTAAGGTGCTTTAGTGGCCATCTGAAGACTATGCAGGGCCCAAAGTTTGGCTTCCATGTCTCAGGCATGAGATTGAGACAGACATATACCAGCCAGAATGCTAGGGCTACAAACCCATGTAAGCCCTTAAGGATTCTGAGCCATAGGAGGTGATTTCATTACCTAGATTTCAGAATTGATTTGGACCAAAGTGAACATCACACTTAAAAATCAACTGTAACTGGTAAAGTTAACAGAACCTAGATGGAATACAGAGAGGCTACATTGTTACCATGTTTGCCCAGCACATACTCAATGCCAGACATTACTGAGTTCTTGGGATGCTTCTGTCTTAATCTTTGACTGTTCCAGTGAGAGAGCCCCTATCATCTCCATTTTACAAAGGTGATCAGTAAGTGCCCAAGCTACCACATACAAGATGCCACAGAAGACTGTTGACATCCTGCCTAGGGCTTCTAAATAGAATTATCTGCTTCTAGTCGGACTTTTCCTTAAGCACAGTGGAGAAGAAAACAATGTATTTTTTAGAAGTATGAAGCTTTGAACTCAGGGACTTGGAACTTACTAGGCCAGGGGTTCTATCTACCAGTTAGGCCTTTCCTTTTTCTCATTTTCATCGATTAAAAAATTCAACTAGCATTTTTGCTGCAGTTATTTTTCATTGCTTATTTCTTTGGCCAGACTACACCATGATCTTCCCAATTGCGGTCTCCTGAGTAGTTAGGATTAAAGGCATGAGCCATTGTTTGAGCTACACCAGGGAAATCTCAGAGCCAATTCTCTCCACCTCTTACTGTCTTATCCTTGCCTCGGTATCTCTGAAAGGAGGGAGCTTTAGAGAGGATACCGCATTTGTGCTCCCACATGGCTTCTGTGTGGAAAACAGGCTGATACACACTAAACAGACTAAGGAAATACCTCATGTAATGGGATGTATGGCCAGATCCCAGATTTTATATTTGGGGACTCATTGCTATTTTATATATAGCTTTTCACTTGTGCAGATAGGTATGAATGAAGTATATACACAGTGAATTACCCTTCACATGAAACTATTTTATGCTAAAAAAAACCCTATGCTGCATTTTAGAGAAATAACAACAAATTTAAAAAATCTAATCAATATAGCTTCACATTCAAGATCCTTCTACCTCTATTTGATAACCAGACTTTTCTTTTTTCTATTTCTGTATATTACCGGACACACACAATTTAGGTCTTATGGCTAAAACAGGGGAATACAATTCTCAGTCTTCCCAAAGAATAAGGCTAAAATGCTAGATGATGATCCAAAAGTAGGGGCTGTGATTTACAGGGTGCATTACTTGTTCTTGAGCCTAAGTTAACAAAAGGATCTGTTTTTATTAAAAAGTGTTCCAATCATTTATAAAGAGGAAATAAGCAAGGGCTAAAGGGTAGCATGGTGGTAGAACACTTGCCTAGCATGTGCAAGGCCTTGGATTCCATCTAAAGCACTGAAAAGAAGAAAGATAGAAAAAGGAAGAAACAGGGCTGGGAAGGTGGCTCAGTGGTAGAGTGCTTGCCTTGCATGCATAAGTCCCTGGGTTCCATTCCTCAGCACCACATAAACAGAAAAAGCCAGAAGTGGCGCTGTGGCTCAAGTGGTAGAGCACTAGCCTTGAGCTGAAGAGCTGAGGGACAGCACCCAGGCCCAGAGTTCAGGCTCCATGACCGACCCCAAAAAATACAAAATCCTTTTAGTTAGACCACACAGTGGAAGTGAGAACCCCATTATATTCTTTTGGTTCGGGATGAAGACAGTTAAAAGCTATACTTTAGGTTGATCTTGACTTTTAGTGTTCATAACAGAAGAATTATCCCTTCACATGTCCCATTGTTGGGCCTTCTTACTTTTGGGAAGGATTTTTGGCTTCCAGTGGTATAAGGAACAAAAGGAAGTGCCAAAGTTGAGGCCTCCATAAAAAATAAAACAATTCTGAAGAGCCAATTCACACAAGCAAAACAAAAAGCCTTATGTTCATTAAGACTCGAAGGCTTAGAAATGGCACCAAGGCTTTAAAATAGTTCTAAGAATGTGTTAAGGGAGCCAGCGATCAACTAGGATTACTTCTTGCCAAGTAGCTTATAGCTTGCAAAGGCCACTTAAACATTTGGACCACAGACTTGGCTGGATGTTTTTATTAGAAACCACAGGGCTGTTGATTCATCTATCCTTAAAAATCTCAGAGGTCACATTTTCAGCTGCCTCATATAACAGGCTCTTTTTACTCCAAATATGCTGTTGGTGTTTGATAAGCTTCCTGTTTGACCTCTTAATCAATGTTGTTCTCCTACATTAAACTTGACACAGCAAATGTATGCCAACAAACTTCACATAGGATTCTTTAAGTTCTTGTTTGAGTGATAAAGGCCATATCAATAGTTTCTGAACTATTTTGACATGCTGAATTGACTAGTGGTCCAGTGATGAAATTATTCTAATCTCAATAGAAATATTAGCTACTTCATTTTCCCCAATGAGTTTGTACCTCTTACCTTTGGTATAATAGGCTGTATATTACATTTTTCTAGAGGAGGATACAGTTGAAAAATGAGATGCCTTTTTTAAGGATTAGATATTCAAATGTAGAGCTGGAAAGTTTACACTAGGATTTGGAATCTTAAAGATGGTGGATGCTTTATTGTATTTGCAAACCTAAGTTTGAACTTTTTAGTTGATAGATGCTGTAAATCCTTATGATAGGGGAAACATTGGTATCTTTAAGCTAAGGAGAATTCTGTATTACTTTAAAAAAAATCAGTGCTTTTTTTGTATTATAGCGGAGTCAAAGTACCAAACAAAGGGACTTCCAAGTTGAGATGTGGTCAACACTAATCTACTTACCAAGTGGTAACTTCCTGTCAATAGACCACGTTCAGTAGGTTCACTTGTTCATTAGGGTGGCTATTTGTAGAGTAGGAAACAAGTGGACAGCAGCTAGTCCTGCCTTCACAATAACAGCCTTTTCCTTCTGCATGCTTGACCTCTGCCATGTCTCACACAAAACAAGGTCCAAACCCATCCTTTGCCTTTCATCCATTTGACCAAGATCATATCAGAGTATCTGTGAGATGGTAACCAACTGACCCTTATTCTGCAATTATAGATCTTTCTGCTTAAGCCAAAGAAGCAAGATGGTCATTGCATTATATCTCATACACCAGTGAAATATGCTTCAGTCACTACCAGTCCATTTGGCCTCCTGAAACATCTTCTTGTTCAACCTCTTGCTGCTTGATTAGTCATGTCATTTCAGAAGCATCACGAAACCCTCCAAGCCAACTGGCTACCTCATGTTGGACTTGTAGCATCCTCTCAGTGTTCAAGTCTGCCATCTTCCTTGGCTTCCAGGCTTCTTGATATGTTTAAGGAAATCCTGGCCAGCCCCAGGCCACTTTTCTTTCTTCTACTTAAACTCTTTATCTCTTTTTCATCCTAAAATTTCCAAAATTACCCATAGAAGGAATCTTTCCTCCTCATCCAGTGAGGCTGATCATTTTTGAAGGCATTACACTTAAGATGCTTCATGAAGTCACATTAGAACAATGTTTTACACGCTTTAGGTTAGTTGTGCCAGAATCACCTATAGGGCATCTGGAAACTTCAGATTTCTAGACCCTACCCACAGGATTTCTCATTCAGTAAGTCTAGGGTCACGGCTATGATCTGCACATCTATCATTTTCCCAGCTGATTCCAGGTGCAGAGATTCTGCAAACAATAATGAGAAACGCCATCTAAGTTTATTCAATGATGAATAAACCTTTTGTTTAGTGCCAGTACTGGAACTTGAACTCAATGCCCTGCACTATTTTTTTTTTTTTGGAATTTTCACTCAAGGCTGGAATTCTATCACTTGAGCTATACCTCAAGTTCTCAGCTTTTTGCTGATTAATTTGAACTAAGACTCATGAATTTGTCTGCTCAGGCTGGTTATCCTCAGCCTCCTGAGTATCCAGAATTATAGGTGTGAGCCATCAACCCCTGGCTACATTTTTCAATCCTCATTGTTCACCTTCTTGCTAAGTTAGTCTAGAATTTTATAAGAGGAAAGCCCTTCCCCCTGCCTTAGAAGGCACTTGTCCTGTCAAGGGATAGAGGGTAGACAAATGAAGATGAGATGGAGGAGTGATGCAGTCAATAATTCAATGTATATCCTACACAATTAAGAAACGTGATGGATGAGGAGAGTTGGGAGATTTTGGGAGGGATGGATGAGAATGTTGAAAGAGGTGACATTGATCAAGATGCAAATATTCATAAACTGCTTTGTTAAATAGCAATCTATTGTACAACTGCTTAAATATAATAATAATAATAGTAATAATAAGAAAAGAGAAGGCACTTTTCTTTGACCTATGTATAATCACAGAACACAGACATAAGTATGAAGTACGAAAATTTATAGAAATCTTAGCACATATTTCTAGATCAGGAAATAAATGAGACAAGGAATCATAGTAAGCAATAAGAATTCTGGGTAAAGATGAAGGCAGCTTCTTTTGCAAATTTGTAGAACAAATGCTAAATGGTACCTCGTCCTTTACTCAGTACTTGGCTGGAAAAGAAACTATCCTGATTACAGACTTAGCTATCCAATATCATTTGCTGTAGTTGACACATTTAGTCAGAACACTTGACTTTACTCAGCTCATCTTGGCAGTTTATCTTGTAGAAACAAGCACAAACCGTGGTTCAGCTGCTTGGTTTAATTTTTTTTTTAGCACTTGAAAAAAAAATGTACAGTAGTTTGAACACTCAGTCTTTGCAAACCTCCACGGAGGTTAAGGGTTTCATTCATACGTACAAAATTAGTTTACAAATTTTTTTGGCAATTTTATCTTAGTAACCCGTTTTATCCTATTGCCATTGTCCCAACCATTGAAAAAAGTTTACAATAATTTACATAGAAATATTTTCAAAGTGCTTAAGAATAGTGATTGTTCTCTGGGGGTATTTACAGGGGGCCTATACAGATATGTACAAGTGGTGTACATTATAGCACAATTTTCATTGCTGGGATATGGCTTTCTAGACAAAGTGCATATTTGGCCAGAGGTGGCAATACTGTCTAAAAGTTCAAGGATTACACATTCTTGGTAACCACATCCAAAGCTGAAGTAGAATGCGGACAAGAATATTTACAAAAGTAATATAAAAAAAAAACGGTCAAGTACACAAGCTTGATCCACGCAAATCTATCTTGACGTTCTTCCAAATGGGAGGAAGAAAGACTTCAGCGCTGGCTCGGTTACCATTCCGAACTGGGGTATTATTGATTTAGACCTCAAAGGGCAAGACTTGTCTCTGGGGTCAAGCTAGATCATCATCTGTGCTGACAACTGATATCTGTGGAAAAGAAAATAAATTAGAATGAGTTGGGGTGATCGCTTACTGGCAACTCTAGTCTCTAAAATGGATTTTGCACTTGGAAAAACATCAAGTTAAGTGAAGTAAGCCAGACCCAAAGAAACATAGGTTCCATGGTTTTCCTCAGTTGTAATAATTAGTATATGTCTAGGATAATCCTAGCAGATGTACATATGACCATATAAAATGATGCTACGTGAAAAGAACTCCAAAACATGGAAACAAGAGGTTTTTTTTTTTTTTTTAGTATACTATGTGATTTCTTATTTCTTTTGTGTTTTTCACCCTATGGTTATTCTCTATTGTCACTGTATTTGATTTTGGCACCCTGGGTATTGTTTATATGTTTATCTGAATTAGGGAAGGGAAGGGGAAAAACAAAATGGTGAGACAAAGGACAAAGGGTGAACCAATGCAACAGTGATTCTCACAAAACACTATATTGGAAATGATCTGTACAACTTGGGAGGGATAGGGGGAAGGAAAGTGGGAGAAAAATGAGGGGGGTAACAAGTTCGACAAGAAATGTACTCACTACCTGATGTATGTAACTGTAATCCCTCTATACATTACCTTGACAATAAAATTTAATTTAAAAATAAATAAATAAAATGGACTTTGTGTTGGATTAGGTTATTCAAAGATCCAAAGTGTTCAAATGGGAAATCAGATACAAAACATTGTTAAGTTTCAGTATTCATGCATTTAACTGGAGCTCACCTCCTTAATCTGAATTCTGAAATATCACAATTGTATGAGCATCAACAAAATGACACTATGAGTAAAAATTTTCACACCTCAACCCCACATTTAGGATATAGTCAGAACAAATGCATGTTAAAATGATAGTATACAATTACTTCCAGACTCTCTGAGTAAGATGTACATAGAATATAAATAAATTTGTGTTTAGTCTTGAACAATACACTTCATTATGCATATGCAAATACCATATAATCCCCCCAATCCAAAATCTGGGATACTTCTGGTCCCAAGTAGTTTGAATAAGGAATATGTAACCTGGACTTACTTGATACAGTGAAAATTCCATGACTGATTTTACCTGTTCTACTTTAAGGATCATTAACTTTGGAGTGCCGTGAACTAACACCATTCTACTTTTAACCAGAGAATTTGTAAGGTTAAAAAAAACTCCAAACCTCAACTTGGATTTTCTTCAGCCTGGGAGGCCAAATATAGATTTGGAGTTCAAATAAAGAACAAATGCCTGTTGAAAGGAAAGCTAATTATACTGGGTTGGGTAGGCCTTGGTCCTTTTCCAAGTAAAGCACTTAGTACTTTTGGCTAAGTAAATCTTACCAAAAACATTGACCTTCAGTTGACTCCCCAATACAATACTTTTAGGTATCCAGTAGGAGAGAGATTTAACAGTTCGAAATGAAGCTACTTGTGTTACAATCGTTTATAGCTTGCTATTTATATATTGTTTATACAATCCACACTATTTCAGATAGTTAAATACTACTTGCCATCCTTATGTGGGTGAAGTGCTTATGAACTGACTGACATATGTCCTGACAGGCTAGATATCTAATATCCAGGCAGCTGATAATGTGTTTGGTGACTCCATGATCCGAATAGCTCTCGCTAGCTCAAATAAGTATAGACTGAGTTACTGATCAAAAAGTCTCCCCCCACTGCCATGGTCTATAAAGACATAAGGCTGACTTACTGCTGGGTATGTGTGTCCTACTGAAGCACTGTGTCTACCAATGTCTATGGAGAGGTCCTCTTCGGTTGTCTTCAAGTACACAGGATTGTCAAAGTTCATGCTTTTCATGTTCTTGTGTTGCCAGTTTCGCCACATCAGGTAGCCACCTACTGCCGCCATCACTAACAGCACTGGAAAAGCCAGAGAGTGACTGAGTGAGTGGGGTCGAGTCACATAACATACACGAAAGTAACGTGTTAGGAATCCACAACTCAAAACAGAAGATAGAATATAGACCCGGAAGGAAGCTTAGCTCACTCACTGGCTCTGTCATTGTTGCATTAAAGCCAACCTAGCTAGCCACATCCATTTAGGAAGGTATAGTATTCTGAATCCCAGCACTAGGTTGAGTGCTATATAGGTGGTCCTGGTATTTTGTGTTAAGCCAAGACTTCAGTAGTTTAGGTCACATACACCATTAACACAAAGTGCCTTTAGAATTTCTATGTCTGACAAGGACCTTAGAAACCATTGTCCCTGGGTTTGGAAAATTCCAGACTACTTTTCATATACCCTCTCCAGGTCCTGTAGAAAACATGCAAACATTTGTGTCTCTCCTCTTCAAGGAACACTACACTCATTTCCCAGGGGGAAAAGAACAGAAGCATGTTAGTAAAAACGGGTTGAGTCTGGCTAATAGTGCTAAAGGAGAAAGCATTTAGCATCTATTGCAATTAATACACATAAACCACTGCCTTTTTCCATGTTAAGTAAGGGAACTGCTGAAGAGAAAATATCCGTGCTTAGTGTATCACGTAAATGAGGGAGTGAATGTAATTCGCTGTCACGAATGCTCTGACAATATGTAAGATGGAAAGGTGGTTATGGATCAACTAGATATGTCCATCTGATGTCCATCCACATGTGAGAGGCATTTACTTACACAGAGGCAGGATGGCCCAGGCTGCAGAAGACCCTTTTGGGGGAACACTGACTTCTGAGACTGCTGTGGTTACGTTGATTCCTATGAGGGAATAAAAGGAATCAGTTTAGAATGAATCAACTCAGACTTAACACTAGCTACTCATCAGGCAGACAGTCTTACATCTTTGCATCCAATATCAATCTTCAGTACCTCCTACCATTGTATACCAGGAGCCACAGGTGTATGAATGACACACTCTCATAGCCATTTCACTACCAGTTTTGTAACAGAAACTTTAGTAAATCAGATCAACGTAGGATATAAAATCTAAACCCGTGGGGTTTACATATAAATTACCAATCAGGGCAGAACTAGTAGTTAAAGGTTTCATTAATTGTTTACATTATAAAATTGTGGCTGTTAGTGGAGATTAAGTTTGCAGTACTGAAACCAATACCTCCAGGAACTAGTCCACTAGTTGCTGGAATTTCTGTTGTGTTGGTATCTTTAGTCTCACCGTAAGCCACAGTAGTTGTAGTACCTGGATCATAAAAACCAAGAACCTGGTTATTGCCCAGGTTCTTGAATGGCTAGCTGTTTAGTTCAGACAAGCCATGCAAAGGGTTATTTTAACACCAGGTGAAGCAGACAAACCACTGTTGCCCAGGTATTGGATGCTTCAAATGGAAAGAAATTGCAGTTAAACACAGGAAAGTTCAGACAGAGAAGTCAGCATGTGAAATTTGGCAACCCCAAAGGTGCAGCCACACTTAATCCTTCTCAACAATTTTCTAGGCTCTCCTACAAGTTACAAGAAATATTCTCAAGACGTTCTATGCACCATACCAGATGGCTGGCAATTGCACTCTGTAAATTGAGCGAGTCTGTCATGACCTAGAGTTAAGCTAATAAAAGCCTCACCAGAAGAGTTCCTTGTTTACAAGAAGCAAGTTTATTTTCCCACTGAATAAAAAAAAGCTAAAAAAAAAAGCTAAGAAGAGAAGATTCAAATGCAGGTTTGGTTTAAATATGGATTTAAAGCTGAGTTCCCCCACCAAGGCCTTGATGTTTCTTGCAAACATGGCCTTCTGTAAGCATAAAATCAGTCTATGCTCAATAGAGGGAAATATTAACTTTTATTTAATTACCTGCAAGTTGGCTAGCTCAGTGCTATTATAGGGCTTAATTATAAATTAGTATGAGGCACAATGACACTTTAATCACCTATGTTAAAATGGGTTGCAAGTCAGTTCTGAAGTATTGACAGGAACACCTGGCATGCGACCACAAGCACCAAATGCACCAATATGTTCTGAAATCTATTTCCAGAGTTAGCTGAAATAGAATTTCTAAAACTCAGGCTAGTTTTTTATAGCTAGTATCTTCTACTGACTGTCATTAGTCTTGTTTGTGGTTGGAATGCAAAAAAACAAGTCTTACTTTGGCACTCTCTCCCATTTTCTTCTAGATGGTACCCGTTGGGACAGGAACAGGTATATTTTGGAGAGTGATCATTAATCTGTGGTGCTGGCAGGCAGAGGTATTCACATCCTCCATTCTCCATGTCTTCTTCACACCAATTTTTACCTAGTCAGAACAAAAAGATTGGTTAAAGTAGGCATTTTAATGCAGATTATATATGGAACCTTTTTTACCCCTGGTTCTGGGGCTTGAACTCTAATCTTGGGCACTGTTCCTGAGCTCCTTTTGCTCAAGGCTACTGCTCTACCACTTGAGCTACAAAGCCACTCCCAGCTTTTTCTGAGTAGTTTATTGGAGATAAGAGTTTCATGGACTTTCCTGCTTGAGCTGTCTTTGAACTGCGATCCTCAGATCTCAGCCTCCAGAGTAGCTAGGATTACAGGCGTGAGCCGCCAGTGTCTGGCTTATATAAAAAGCCTTTTGATTCTAGGGAGCCTAAACTTGGCTACTCTGTCAGATCTTCAAGTGAAAGCAACATCAATGAAGAAGAGGTATTAAGGTACCAGCAGCATGCTGGAAGGATATCAGATTCAAAGATACTTCTCTGAATAAAAGCAAAAACAAAACAAAAACCTCAAAGTAAGTAGAAAAGAAATTTGTTTTCAACAGACAGGTGCCAGGGAAGACGGCGAGGAAGGGAATTGAGGAACCAGGACTATCTCTCACTGTTCATCCAAGTGTCAAAATGATGGTTCAGAAGGAGAACAATCATGCTTTCTTGGCTTTACCATAGCTTACTGCTGGGAAATAGTAGAGGTTTCCACTACACGGAGGGGTGAGGATTTCCTGGAGTTAAACCAGATGAGCATATTGAGCAAGATAAACTACGACCAAATGCATTTGTAGAGTCACACAATCCTGTCTCCCAGATACGTCATGCAGGAAGGCAAGCATTATGAGTTAAACTGTGCACAAAATTCATTGGCTGAAGTGCTAATGACACCAATATCTCAGGGAATGATCTTGTTTGGAGATGGAGTCTTCATAGAGATAAGTTAAAATGAAGTCATTAAAGTAGGCCCTAATCCAAACGATTGGTATTCTTAGAAGAGGAAATGTGAACACAAGTCTATTCACATCTATATCTTTGGCTATATAGACAGATAGAGATATGAGATAGACAGACAGACAGACAGATAGATAAGATAGATAGATAGATAGATAGATAGATAGATAGATAGATAGATAGATAGATAGATAGATAGATAGATAGATAGATAGAAACAGAGAGGGACAAATAGAGACAAAGAGAGAGAGACAGAAGTTGCAAACAGAGACAAGAAAAAGATGAGAAGGTGGCTCTCTACAAGCCAAGGAGAAGGCTGGGACAGATTCTTATTTCATGGTCCTCAGAAGGAACCAACCTTGCCAACCTTGATTTTGTACTCTTCGCCTCCAGAATTGTGAGACAATAAATCTCTGTTGTTTAAGGCACACATGTCATGGCCCTTTGCTATGTCAACCCTAGAAAACTAATTGTAGGGAATATTTGTGGCACTAAAGCTACTATGGAAACCGATGTAACAGGCTTAGCAAGAAGAACTGAGGGCCAGAGATACTGGAAGAAATAGAAATAAAAGCTCTGACAGTGACAGTTGAAAGGAAGTTAAGATTTGATGTTCTGATGCCATTTTGCTAAAGCAGCAGAAATGAAAAAACCAAGCTTCAATGGTGAAATATTTGGAGTAGGTTCAAGAGGGCAAAAGTTCCATCCTAAAGAAAGCTGAATAGCTAAAAAGCTACTGACACCTGGCAGATTCTGAGTCATGCTGCTGCCTCTAAATCTGGCTATTTGGTTGGGCACTAGTGGCTCACGCCTATAATCCTAGCTACTCAGGGGGCTGAGATCTAAGAACCATGGTTCAAGCCAGCCTGAACAGGAAAGTCTGTGAGACTTTTATCTCCAATTAACCACCAGAAAGCCAGAAGTAGCTCTGTGGCTCAAAGTGGTAAAGTGCTAGACTTGAGCAAGAAATACTTAGGGAGAGTGCCCAGGTCCTGAGTTCAAGCCCCATGACTGAAAAAAAAAAGGGCTATTAAAGTCAGCTTCTTGATGCTACCTGATGGTTGTACAAGTTCATGATAAACAATGATGTCTTGTGCATCATTGAGATTGTTGACTAGAGTAGCCAGTTCGGATCCAGTGAATTTATTGGCGCCATACACAGCTTCATTTTCCCCATCTATCCAGTAGACACGATCCTAAAATAGAGTGACAATTAGCATGTACCGCCAAAATTAAAACAAGTCAGTGTCTAAAGTCATCATTATTTGCTGGTCATTTAATGGACTTAATTACTAAATGCTGCTCAGGGAATTAGACATGACACTGTAAGTGAAGCATGTTCCGGTTTCTTGAAGTATTTTAAGAAATTTGTATCTATTTTGGACCAGGATTTTGGTAAAAGCCATTTTTCCAGTTGTCTTTTCTGTCCTTCCTTTCTGCATCCATACCCATTCTTTCTCCACACAGTAACTCCCCAGTAGACAGTTGTGAAGCACATCTTACCTCAAATATTGTTAATGCAAGAGGATGAGCCAGAAACTCCAGAGATTTTAGTACTATCCTCCGATCTTGGCCATTCAAGTCCACACTGGATAGCATGTGCAACTTGGAATCAAGCCAATAAAGGCGGCTTTTTATAAGATCTAGGCAGAAAAAGAATTGACATTATATGATGAGTCATTATTGCTCTGACTGACATTTAAACTATCTGCAGACTCCACTATGGAAATCAGTTTGGAGGTAAAGACAGAACAATCTATGCCATCCTGGGACATATATATGGGAAGGAGGAGTAGGGATAAGGAAGAATGACAGAGGATGTGTCTGTGATCAGAGTGCATAAATGCACATGTTAAAATAAACCTCCTTTCTACAACTAATTGTTGCTAATCAAAATAATTTTAAATAAATAAACAATATCTCTCCAACTTAATGTTTCATACTTGTTTCTCCTTCTCTAGCAGGGTTCCTAATAAGGATTCCATAAAACTTGTGAAGCAGCATACAGAATATATATCTATATTTTATTTTTGAGGACTAATGGTGTTTCTAACATTCTCAAAGTAACTGTTTTAAGATATGCTCCATTTTATAGCAAGTGTTAGATTCGGGGGCCATTTTGTTGTTGCACCTGGGTAAGACAAACAAACAACAAAAAAACCCAAACAATCTCTCACAAGCCTATAATTTATGAGATGTTAAGGAATCTATGCTAGGAATATTCTATACGAAAATCCCCAAGGCCCAAAATATTCTCTGTGTTCATGACACAAAGTTGGCCAAAGAGACAACAAACTCATGTGATTTGTTAATGCCACCATTTCACTATGTTGTTTCGTTACTTTCATCTAAGTCCTTGCTGTAGAAGGAATCAGAAGAATTTGCTATGGAGATAATAAAACATGAGGAAAACAGTTGGATCAATGGACAAGGATGAAGAACATACATACCAAGTGTAATTCCATTAGGCCATTGGATATCCAAGGTTACCAGTGGACGTCTATCAAATCCATTCATCCCTGCTTTTTCTATTTTAGCTGGTTCACCCCAGTCTGACCAGTAAACAAAGCTGGGAAGAATGAAATTGGAAATATACCTGAGTGGTTTAGAAGGAATAAAGTTGTTGCTTGAAACCAAAGTTTAACGAACGAATGGAAAAACTCGACTTTGATGTTCTAGAGGTAAATACGGTGATGCTTAAGGGTGAGAACTACCTTCTGGGTAAATAAAATTAAGACCTAGAATGTACAAAGGTAGAGATATAACTCAGTGGTCAATTGCCTGTTTAGCAATTGCTGAGTTTGTTCCTCAGCACCCCCAAAAAAAGAATATACAGGCTCTTTATTAGATGTGTTCATCTATATCAGTCTGACACTTAAATTTCAGCCTTTTCCCTTAAAGGGGCAAATGCTTTCAGAGGAGTGAAAGAAGAATATCCTTTAAATTTGATAGGAGGGGTTGGTTAATTATATTCTAAGGGTAATTGGTGGGTGACAACTATGATTGCTACAGTTAGAGTCATCTTCATAAGCTACCCACACTACTTTGCTGGCAATTTAGAGAAATCTCCTAGTGAAGTATTTCTAGAGAGCTCTCTTTATTTCAATTAAACTTTCAGACAACTTTCACTGTTAGATGGAAACTTGAGCCAAGGTGATTACCAACATTCTTTCATTTTATTTTAGTATTTAGATTTGAGTGTCCAGAGGTAGTCAACCCAGCAGTGTTCAGAACAACAGCCGCAAAAGACAAATCATTTGCACAGAAACTGTTCAGATACAGCTTTGGGCATATGTGATATATGAAACCAGAATAATATTTCATCCGGGACAACGAACAGTCTGACATGCAGGAAGCAGACAGGGAGAGCCTATGATTCATAGGGAGCCATTCAAAGGTTGCTCCAACATCACACTACTGACATCTGGTACCAGATGATTCTGTGAGGAAAGCCCTAACCCATGCAGATAGCATCCAAAAAGCTAAGTTGATAGAAAACAAACCCAGACAGCGGGTCCACAGCTATGGAGGCGGGCTCTCTCAAGTCAGAGTTAAACAGGTACTTCCTCTTGGTTCCATCTAGGGTAGCAACTGAAATAGTCTTAGAAGCTGCATCAGTCCAGTAGATGGTCTTGTACACCCAATCAACAGCAATGGCTGCAGGATTATAGACATTGTCGATCATTTTAACATGTCTACCAACCTTGTCATCAATTGAGGCACTGAAACAGAATAGGTCACAAGAAATTTAGGAGTTTGTCACTGTGAGAACCCAGAGAATGGACTTGCTGCTTATCAAATGGTCAAGGACTTTATGGAGGAAGGACTCTCCTCACACCGTAGTTCACCACTCAAATAATCCAACCATGGCTGCTCACTGATGCTAAATTAGGACTACAGGTTATCTAGCTATTGATATGGATTGTGTCTACCAGCCCAGCCAAGTTCTAAGTGAAACCATTGACAAACACTACTATTTTTATATGTAATGACGACAAATAGTTTCCAATTAACTGTACAGAAAGGAGAGAAATTAGGAGGAATTAAAGATGTCATCTGCTACCATCTTATAGTTGTAACCATCTTTGACTTCAAAGACAGCAGTTAATTTTTAATTAGCAACTAACAGTAATTTAATAGCTAAAGAATCAACATCAGCTTTAATACTCACAGCTAATGAGATGCTAGCTTGGAGGCAGAGGCAGGAGAAAAACCTCCAACCCTTTCCCCAGGCCAAGGGGCAGTACCAGAAATGGAACCAAAAGTTACCTGAAGATGGCCTTTTGACTTAGATCAGCCCAGAATAGTTTCTGTGCAGCAATGTCAGCATCAAGAGCCACAGTGTTCCGTAGCTGTTCAACTAGTTGGATATACTCTTTCCTTTCTAAGCCAATCTTCCTGATATCTCTTCGATTGGTGAAGATCAGACTTGGCTCTTTACCTGCAAGACATGAGTCAGGTAGGCTTAGTTTTGCTCTAATGAAGTCACCTCTCCATAGAGGAGCACTAACAAAGTAAAGGCACTGTTGACTGTCTCAGTAGAATCTGGCCAGGAGTTCTTGCTCCTGAGAGCTGCAAGTGCTTGTCACTGTTTAGAAAGGCAATCCTGGGGTTACAGCATTCCAAAGTAAGCTGGCTGATGAACAAGTGACTTATCTGAATTGCACTCAGTTTCAGAAGCGGAAAGTAAGCAAACTTAGTAAGCATTCAAATCTAGTAAGTATGCAAAAGGAATGACCAAAGCAGATGTTTTGGAAGATGATCTACTCTATCAGTCCTTATGGTGCTAGGAGTTTAGTAGCATTGCTCTTGAGTTCTGCTTAATTTTCTATTTACTTTGACTGTTGCAATTACTGGCTGTACCTTTTATAAGCACTTACTCATAAAGGTACCAGAGCAACACCAGTCCAAGTCCATTTACCTACTGCTTTGCACACGCCAGTGGCAAGATCCATTTGATAGCCACGACTACATTCACACTTGTAACCGCCTTTTAAGTTGATACAAATTTGGCTGCAGATTCCTGGATTTTGGCATTCGTCAATATCTAGGAGGGAAATTAGAATTAGTCTTGCCGATTCCTAGACCTTACTAGATGTATACTGCCCTTTCCTAAAAACAAATTCCCCCAGAGGCCAGGTTCTCTTCTGCCACTCACCTCCACAGGTTTTCCTATCTATCAGTTCAAACCCAGCTGCGCAGTCGCATTCATAGCCTATAACTAGGTCTTTGCAGATATGAGAGCATCCACCGTTATTTATTGAGCATTCATTGACGTCTGGAATTAAAAAAATGAGGCGAAAATCACTTGACAGCTTATTCCCAATTTCTATTTGTGTTATGCACATTTAAATTAAATTTGTGTTATCTGGTTGGCCTTGTCAAACCCATGACTTTTAAAGTCATTCCTTTTATAGGTGTGGATATCTGGGCAGATGAGGAGAATAGCAAACCCTATCTCCTTGGCAAGTCCCGGGTTAGTGATGCAGTATTTAGTCAAGTGGCTCTCTTGCTAATCAATTATCTTTAAGGAGGCTGAATTATGAAATTGTTTGTCACTGCCTGGAGATCTGAGCCATAAAATTTTATTCTCAAGCCCAACAATGCAATTTTAATTCATTCTGTGTTTAACCGGGCATCAAGGAGGGTCCAAACAGCTTTAGCTATGGTGAATTAAACTTCCCAGCTCTGTCCTCGAGAATCCCCTCCACTTACGACATTCTTTGAGGGGCTCATCACTCCAGTCTCTGCAGTCTTGCTCCTGGTTACATACTTTGAGGATATCTATACATTCCCCACTTCTGCATTTGAACTTTCCAGGGCCCAAGCACTGATTGACTAACAGAAACATTAAAAAAACAACAACAACAAAAAAAGAGGTTCTATTAGTGGGTCTGCTCAGAGCCAGTTCTCTTGTCTGAACCAATGCAGAAAGATGCTCACCATTTTTGCAGTTGACTTCATCAGAACCATCGACGCAATCTCGGATGCCATTACACTGTCTGCTCCCATGGATGCAGCTACCATCCTCGCATTCAAATTGATCCGGCCGGCAGGTTCGGGAAGCTATGAAGGGAGGAAGTACCATGGGGTGAAGCCAGTCGCATGGTCTGCAGTGGGTCTGCGTGAGGGAACTGGGAAGTTACTTACGGCAGTTGACCTCATCGCTACCATCCTTGCAGTCCGGGTCCCCATCACATCGCCACTTCTTGTGGATACACTCGCCAGAGCCACACTGGATTTCGCTGGCTGGGCACTTGGTGTGTATCACGGGCTGGCGGCCACACTGCTCCAGGGACTCATCTGACTGGTCTGAGCAGTCCGCATCATCGTCACATACCCAGCTGATGGGGATGCAGGAGGAAGTACTGCACTGGAACTCGTGGGCACCGCAGGTCGGGGGGGCACAGTCGAACTCGTCGCTGCCATCATTGCAGTCATCCTGGCCATTGCACACGAAGTTCTTGGAGATGCAGCGGCCGCTGGAGCAAGTGAACTCCAGAGGGTTACACGTGATGTTGCCTATTGAGAGAGAAGACACCCTACTGAATGTATGTCAGCATCGAGTCAGTTGTTTGTTTTCTCTTACAGATTCTTGTCCTCAAGTTGAATATATTGACCTTCGGCCTAGGTTAATTCGAAAGCTATAGTGGTGTGATATCCAAAGCTCTTCCTGAAATATGAAGAAATAATCTCGCTGTGTAAAAGAAAATTACAGCTGTGCTATGAATACAAACACAGATAATAGTTGAAGATGAGAAAATAATTTGAGAAAACTATAATTGGCACCTAATGGGACAGTGATCAATAACTTAAACTTTTCTAAGGGATGGATTTTCAGAAAGCAGAAACAGAGTTGTGTACATAAGTCAACATAGTTTATCTGAAGGCGCATCACTCACTATCTGAGAATATCATGCATTAGGCATACAGACAATGCACTGTAATAAGCATTAAAACGCTAGCACACAAAAGAAGAAAACCATATACCACAATACATGATTCCTTCTTTTTTGATCCTTTAAGTGAGGATCAAGAAGAACAAGTTTGAAACCATTTTAAAATCGTAAAGATTCACAGCGAGGACAAGAATCACAATCTAGTCAGCAGGTATGCTAATAAGATAAGCACTCATCAACATTAGCCAGTTTGTACTTTGACTTAAATTCCTGCCAAACATATTAAAGTCAGAATTTGGCAGTAATTGGAAGGGAGACCACGACTCTCTTGGGAAGCAAAATGTAGATTGATGAGGGAAATGCTTGGCAGCTCCAGAGCTTACCAACACATACAGTTCAAATCTGATATTGAACATGCAAACTCATTGGACTAGGTGCAGTGGTATTGACCTCAGGAGGCGACTTCTACACGTAAGACTGGCATTTCAATTGTAAAGGTCCTGAGTTTTCTTGAACACTATTGCAGTATGAGGCCAGGCTTGTCAGGCTTGGGAGCTGGTGGTTTTAGAGGACCTATAAAAAGGGCGGTAGCTTGAAAGAACACTCAAACCAATGTTTGTTCAGCCTAGAGATTTTCCCAGGGCCTCACTTTTAACATGGAAGGTTTTATTGCAGATTTTCCAAGAACAAAAACATGAAAGACTAGGAAACAGAGCTAGCTTTCAGAGATAGGAACGCAACAGGAGATAGAGGTTGGGTAGGTTTTTCTTTAAGCATTTGCTAGGAACATGTTAATTCATGCTTCTATGCTGGTTTAACTTTTAGAAAGGGTGTAATAGAAACTAGCTTGAGGATAAGAAATGTATAATTCTCAAGTAATTTATTCTAATAAGCAAATCTAGTTAAGACCCAGAAATGTGTTTGCTGGCCCTAATCACTTTCTAGTTTTATTGAGCAAAAATGAGAAAGGCTCATGAATTACTGTCATAACAGAGACAATAGCTCACACAATTGCTGCTTCACTGAGCTACTGCTAAAATTAACTGCCCTGAATAACTTACCTTCTTATTTCTATATGCCTAGAGGAAACATCAAGCGATGGTCAATTACCACTTCAGAGTCTTTAAGAGGTTTAGGGCAGTTAGGAAGAACAAGTATGGAGCAGACAGTGAATTCACTGAAAGAGTGAGTCAATATAACTGCATCTTCATGCGTAAGGTTGTTTCCCTAGCCCACCCTTCTTTGAGGAAAGGGGTCTTTGGGATATGCCACTCCACACTGATCTTCTTACCACAGTTTTCTTCATCTTCTCCACTGTCACAATCATTTTCACCATCACATCTCCAGGACACTGGGATACACTGAGTAGAACGGGCGCCACAGCTGATTTCATTTATGCGGCATGTTCTCATATCTGTTGATGATATACAATCTCAAAAGAGCCTCAAAACTGATCAGTGCAAAGTTGCTGCTGCTGCTCCTGGGCTGCCTGGAAGTGTGACATCTGGAACTCAGTGGCTTGGCACACTGGGTAGATTGATTAGTGGGAGCCTGGGTGGATCCTGGGCCAGGTCCATTCCTTAGAAGCCATGCCAATCAATGCCACCTGGCAGTGCACCTGACAACTCTGGCCATGTCACTCCTTCAAGGTTTTCATGGCATACTTGCTTCTGGCTTTTGTTTTACTTGGCATGGTTTGGGCCAGCCTGCTGCTACACCAAACATCGCCACCTGATCCTGACTTCATTAAATTTCAGATGGGCTAACACCCTATGAAACCTTCCATCACCCAGGTTCCTTCCCAGACCTTCTTCTCAGACCTCCTTGAAGAACTCTGCATCTTGTAAAGCAGGAGTATGCACTAACTCTTGAGTTTCTCAGGTCCTCCTCCACTAAACCTTGGGGCTGGATCTTCATAAAATCTGTCAATAACACGCAAGCTTTTGATCTATTTTAACTAGTACCATAATTATTCTACTCACTTCTTGACTAGAAAATGGAGAGTTCCTGCTCGATTTTTCTTAAAAATAAAGCTCAAGTTAGTCCTCCTTTTTCAGCTTCAGCAGCCCTCTACTGCCTTATAATGAATTCTCAGACTTTCTTCACCTGACATTCAAATGATCCCAAATCATTACCCTATATGGTCTCAAAACCTTTTACACCTGCAAACCAGCCTAGGTTCAGAGATGAACATTCACATACCTATTTAGTTTCTCTTATTTAGGATTCCTGCACTGGTGAATGTAGATTATATGTTTATTTTTTTAAAATCACAAACTACTCTATTACTAGTCACCTTACTCTTTAAGTAATAGTCCTCTTTGTTCCTACTATGAAAAGCTGTACATCTAAAAGCCTCTGCTTGGTCAATGAGAGCCCTTGCATCTTGACTTAACCTCCAGGACTAGAAAGCCATCTGCTCACAGTCATTAGAAAACATTTGAGATCTATGCACCTAGTCAAGGAGTTCGTAATCAAATCTGCTGGCTTCCACCTTAACGTGTTCAATGGTAAAGCTACCCAAGAGAATGTCAGTCTTGTTCGAACAGGGAGAACTTTCTTTAAAGGAGATTGATTGACTGTTTATAACTTGACTGACCTTGAAGTCAGCTGATCTGAACTTTAAGGCAGGCAAAGGAAAATGAATACTAAACAGGAGATTAAGCATTACATAGAACGTATGAGACTCAGAAGTGGCTTGGACAAGTTCAAGCCCATAACAAATCACACTCACGGCACTGTTCTGGGCTTTCATCAGAACCATCTTCACAGTCAGGATCACCATCACACTGCCATCGATTCGGAACACATTGCCCATTGTTGCAAACGAAGTCAGACTCCGCACACGTCTTCTTTACTACAAAAGTTGATTCACAGGGTTAAAGATGAAGTCATTTCCCCCAGATCTCACTTTTCATCTTGTGTGTTTTTATTTCTATGTATGAAGCTGTATCAATTGACTCTCAACTGTTGACATCCTTAGGAACTCTGGAAAAAAGACTCCCTCCCCCGATCCCTGGAGAAAATATTCACTGGAGAGACTTAGAGGAAACTCAAGTCAAGAAACATCTACAGGGGGGGCTGGGAAGGTGGCTCAATGGTAGAGCGCTTGCCTTGCATGCCTGAGGCCCTGGGTTCGATTCCTCAGCACCACATAAGCAAAAAAGAAAAAAAAGCCAGAAGTGGTGCTGTGACTCAAGTGGTAGAGCACTAGCCTTGAGCTGAAGAGCTGAGGGACAGTGCCCAGGCCTAGAGTTCAGGCCCCATGACGGGACCCAAAAAAAACACAAAAAACAAAAAAACATCTACAGGGTTAGTTGTGCACATTTAATTCAATCTGTGATCATCTTCAATAGTTGCAATGAGAGGAAGCAGGGAAATAGTCGTATGACAGTCTGTAGAAGAAAATTTCATGATGATGTAAACACTGGTCCTATTAACCAAGTTTGAGCAAAGATAAATAGAGCCAAATGATTACAGAGTCAGTCCATCTCTCTCCACACTGAGCATTCCCTGGCAGGCTGAAGAGGATAGCTGAACCACATTTGAGCAACAGAGAGAAATTGAATGGGCCAATAGGAGGGAGAGCTACTACTTCCATATAACTTGGACCAATAGAAATGCGTGGCTCGTGAAATAGAAACTCAAGTTGCCTTTACTAATTGTCACACTTGAACAAAAGAGCTCTGATAGAATATATAATCCCATTTCATATCAAAAGGTTAGACAGGAAAATTGGGAGGTGTTAAATGAGCGAGTGATTTTTCCCTTTGATACTGAGTATTTCAAAACAGCATCCAGGGCTTCTCTGAGTGATGCTCTATCTCCTCTCTCTTCCTACCTGAGAGGCAGCATCTAATTCTGGCCAAGTGTACATTTACTTCTTCACGCCTCAGATAATCTCAATTCACTGTATTGTTCATCTACCTCTTTTCCTGTCCCAAACCCTCCCTCCACATGGCCAACAGAGGGTATTTATGAGGAAACTATTTCAGGAAAAACTAGTGATTATCCTTAATAACCCAAGCTACTTTCTGCTGAGTTAGATGAAAGACTTCTAGAACAGGAAGAGAATGATTACCACTTATGAAAAAAAAAACCACAATAGGTTTTACTCAATCTTCAGTGTAGAACAGAGGAAAGAGGGACACTTATACCAATAACTTGACTGACTTTGAAGTCAGTTGATCTGAACTTTAAGGCAAGCAAAGGAAAATGAATACCAAACAGGAGATTAAGCATTATGTAGAACTATGAGACTCAGAAGAAATGGCTTGGGAAAGTTCAAGTCCAGGGCTAATCACACTCATGGCACTATTCCAAAAAGATGAGATCCTTCCAGTGAGATCTTTGTTGAGAACTGTATTCCACAGATAAGCCAGAAATAGCAAAGAACTCAATGTCTTGTGGTGGATATGAAAATATTAATGTTAATCATGTGATAAAAACCTGTAGCACAGGAAAATTAGTCTTGTTCCCTGAGCCTGGAGATAAAATTTTTTTCCTGAGACTTCAGAATGGACTTACAATGCTTCTAAAGGAGCTCCTGACCTGTGCGCTTTGTCATAAAACCACCCATGGTATTGCTTAGAGAATGAGCATAGAACAATGTATGCCACCATGTTTATTTAGTAATGGTGCACAGAAAAGAGATTAGCACATGGCAAGATGGCCATCATCCATTCCACCTGCAACTTCTATTTTCCTTCTGGATTTCTAGTTTCCATGGTGAAGATGCCTATAACATCTTTTGAAAGGCAAACAATAGTGGGAGCAGCAACATTTACCTGCAGCCTTGTTTCAGGGATTTTTAGAATATGGAACAAAGGGATCAAAAAGTAGAACTTCAGCATGTATTCATGGTACCTCCGTGTGATACTGACATGTAATTCCCAGCTGTTCTGTTTGACATGAGATTATGGAGACTGCACACGCAGGCATTTCTCACAATGATCTTTTGAGAGATACTGATCAATGGTCTAATGCCATATCCCCATTCTTTTGGGGGAAAGAATGTCTTCCGCCCTGCCTAATACTTTAGGATCAGCAACTACTGTGGGCAGAGAATTAGAAAAGCATCCTTATCTGATCTTTCATCTGTGCAAGCTTGGCATTTTTTTGCCAGGGAGCTAACCCACTCTCTGAAACTTTAGGGGATTGTATAGAGCCCATAGCTTTCTCTCTTTTCAGAGATCATATTCATTTGAGAATGTTTCTAAATGGTTACTTCTATGCAGTCTTCTCTCTGCCTCCATTTCTGGTCCTCCCGTTCCTTTCCTCAGCTCCCTGGACCATAGGTTTGCCTGATCTAAGATAAAACAAGTTCCATCATTTGAAAGGAACTCTATTCTCTCTTCGCCATATTCAAGTTGATGAGTCCACGTCAAACGTTCAATTATATTCCTCTAGACCTGGACCCAGAGGCATAGATTCTTTGTAGTCTGTGGCAAAGCCATTGTTTGGAGTGGAGTTTATTCACAGACTCTCAACACAGTTGCAGAAAATAAGACTCTCTGCATATATTTGAAGAAAACACACCAATCCAAATGAGTGGCAAGGGAGGCTATGAAACTGGTCACTTACCACAGTTCCGTTCATCGCTGCCATCTGTACAGTCTTCATCCCCATCACATTTCCACAGCAGAGTAATACAGCGGCCATTCGTGCACTGGAATTGGGAGGGATCACATTTGGCTTTTCTCCCTAGGATCAGGAGGGAATATTTAGTGAAGCAAAGGCTAGCAGGGTGATAAATGAGACATGCAAATTCCTCCAAATGCAAGAAGGACCCTCATAGAAGGCCAGCTGCTGACTCCACAGGGTGTACAGCATTCTATGGATTAGGATCTGATGGGCCCAGATAGTGACTTACAGTAACACAGTTTTTAGCCAGACACATACTAAAGCTAAATGCTAAGTTTCCAGTTGCGCTCATAGGGAAGCATACTCATGATGAAAAAAAAAAATTCTGGCTAATGGTCATACAATTGCTAAGAAATGTAGTCATGTGTCACATGATAATTTCTTTTATCAAGATAGACCATATATATGACAGTGATCCAACAAGATTTTAGTGGAACTAAAAGATCCTATAATGTCATGGACAGGTAGCTAAAAAAGAGACACAGAGAAGAAAACTGCAAAGGAAAAAGAAAAAACCTCTAAAACAAATTCACAGTGAGTGGTGAGCAGGTTTTGCAGACTTTTTAAAACATTTGAAAGTTCTTGTTTATAGTGAAGTGTTTGTGGGACATTATCTGATTGTAAGGAAATATATTATTGCAAAACAGAAACAAAGCAAACTGTCAAGGCCCTATTTCTGAAAAGAATGAAGAAAGGAAGGACCTGCCTCAGGAAGAGTCTCGGTTCTTCCAGAGGGATTCCAGTCAGCCTAGATGCCCAATGATAAATGAATGGACAAAGGAAATGTTGTACATATGTACAATGGAGTATTTTTCAGCCATAAAGAATCATGACTTTATATCATCTTCAGGAAAATGGATGGAACTGGAAATCGTCATGTTCAGTGTAAGAAACTAAGCTCAGAGAGATAAAAATATCATGTTGTGCTCATCTGCAGAACCTAGACTTCAAAAAAATGCTACTTAATTATAAAAAAAATACTACATGCTTTGGGGAGAACCAGTGGAGGGGGAGAAGGTGACATAGGAATTAATATGATCAAAAGTACCTTACATATGTATATATACATCTATATGTGTATGAAAATAGCATACCCACCAAATACTTCTTTTTAAAGGAGAATGGAGTGGGAGTTAAGAAAGGGTACGGGAATCAGTTTATAAAGCAAGAAAATTACAGTAAGAGCTGAGGATGCAACACCATGGGAGGACCTCTTCTTAGCAAGCTCAAGGATCTGGGTTCAGTTACAACCACCTTTAAAAGAACAGTAAACTAAGGGTAGTTTATTATTGAAGAAAAAAGTCTTTGTCATGAATTTAGTGTAGCCTATGTGTACAAGTGTTCACAAAGTTGACCATGCGGCATGGTGAGCAGTAATGTCTTCTTCCTTCACATCTCCTCACTGAGCTAGCTAGAGCTACATCCACTTCTGCAAGCTTCACTCAGAGTCCGGGCTCTGTACAGGTGCATCTTCTCTTTTACTTTTTATACTATATTTTCACCATGCTTTTTTCTATCTTCTGATAGGTTCAGAAACAGATACTGTTGTATTATAGTTGCCTACCATGCTGCATAGGTTTATAGCCTAGGAGAAATAGGCTATCTCATACCAAAGAGGCAGATAGCAGGCTAGACCATCTAGGTTTATATAAGACAATGCTCTGATGTGAGCCTAGGAAGATAGTTCTAAGGAAGATAGATCTAAGATAGTTCTCGGACTATATCTCCATTATTGAGCAATGCATGATTCTATGCTTAAGGAGATGGAAAACTTCCTTCCCATTCCTCAATTCCTGTTTCATACCTGAGAACTGCATATGGTGGCAGGAACGGCCACCTTTGGAGAAGAGAACCAAGCCAAGATTGACAGGAATTTAGATTGCCCAGAGACATAGGGTATCACAATTGTCTCTGATCTCACTCTTGTTTAAGTCATCTATCAAATAATACAGCCAAATCCTAATTCTTTCATTGCATTTCTTGCCCACATCTGTACTTTTTTTTTTCCATGAGTGCTGTTCCTATCATGGGCAAAGTAAGATTTAGAAGGGCAGCAAGGAGAGGGTGGAAATAATGGTTTCATAGAAATAGAGGGTCCTTGTCTTAGCTATTGGGGCCTCAGTGGAAAAATACGTGTTTATGAGATGAGAGCAGGTGCAAGTATGGTTAGGAAACAAAGGGATCTGGCTTCTAATTTGGGAATGAGGAACAGAAAATTGAAGTATAGCCACAGACCTATTTCCTGCTTCTCTGAGCTCAGTTCTTCTGGGCTCAGCATCTGGATATTAAACTCAAAGCAATGCAAACTAAGACTCAAAGGAGGGCACTCAGCCTTTTGTCTAGTACAGGGGAGCTAGTGTATAGGTATTTCCTATGATTCGCAGTCCTGTGCTTCTGCAGCACATGATTGTTTTCAGTGTTGAAAGCCAACACTGAAGAAAACTTGAGGAAAGAGAGGGAAGAAGGGTGAACAAATGCAATCACACTATTCATTATACATGATGTGGGAAATGACCTATGTAACTTGTAGGCAGAGATGGGAGGGAGAAACGGGGGGGAAAGTAAAGAAAGGGGTGACATGATCCAGGAAAGGACATGTTCTCATTGCCTGACTTATGAAATGGTAGCCCCTTTGCACAACACATTAATAGTAACGATAAAATTAATTGTTTTGGAAAAAAAGGCAAGAAAACCAGAGGAATCATACAGCGCATGCAGATGCCTGGGGGGGGCAGCAGAAGGCTTTAGATTTCTTGCTGCCTCTCAGTACTCACAGCTGGGGCATGCTGGTAGAAGAACAGATACAACAGAGACATCACAGCCTGGGACGCTTGTGTTATGTGCACAATGCTGTAGCTGGTCTCTGTTATCAATGTCTCCCTGCTTTCAGGGGAAATGCTATGCTTAGTAGCTGATACTCAGGGGGATTAAAAGTTGATTCAAGTCAAAAGGATTACATGGGTGGTGTTACCTTCCTATGGTAAAGGTACAAGGCCTTTAATACTATATACACCCTCCTCTAGAGTCTAGCAAGCTATGACCCAGCTACAGAGCGATATGATTTAATGACAGTTCCTACCATTATTTTATCATATGTATTCATTCTACAAATATTTTATTGGCTATAAGGTACTAGAGAGTTACAAAAGGGAACAGGAGGAGGAGAGAAACTGTTGACAGGGAGTCTCCCTTAAGGGTTATTTTTATACTGCTAAGCCAGTGAAGTACCTGGCTGCCTCCTTCTCCAACCATCATGGCTTTCATTTACTCAGAATACTCTCAGCCTTCTCTAATGGCTGCTAGTTGTAGCTCTAGATCCCTACCACCTCTGAGGACTGTGGGTGTAGGAAGAGTCTATTCTGAGTACTTTATTTGAAAAAGTAGGAGAAGAACACATTGCAATCAGAGACCAGAGATGCAAATAGACTTGGAAAGTAAGGTTGCAATTAGGATACAGTGAAGGTCAAAGAGAGTTAAAAGTTTTGAAGGGTTTTAGTTACCAAAGGTCGGATCTAAATGTGATAAAAAAAAATTGATAGTGAAATCTACACAGGCAGAGTGGTAACCATACATCAGACTTGGATAAGGACTTTAGTGTGTGTGTGTGTGTGTGTGTGTGTGTGTGTGTGTGTGTATGTGTGTTACTGGGGATTGGATCCAGGGACTCATGAGAAAAGAATTTAAAAGATGTCAAAAGATAGTTTTCCACTTCAAGGTTTGGTACCTGGATGAAAACTTGCATACAAATAAGTTTTTGACTGATTTTTTTTTTTTTTTGCTAGTTCTGGGCCTTGAACTCAGGGTCTGGGAACTGTCCCAGAACTTCTTTTGCTCAAGGTTAGCACTCTACCGCTTGAGGCACAGCACCACTTTTGGCTTTTTCAGTGTGTGTGTGGTACTGAGGAATCGAACCCAGGGCTTCATGCATGCTAGGTAAGCACTCTAATACTAAGCCACATTCCCAGGCCCCCAAAAAGGTTTTAAGCTATAATTTTGTACATACTGAAGTTAGCCTGGGGTTAAAACCTAGCATATGATATTCTGATTTTTAGTTCATTATCACCTTTTAAAGGAGCTCTCTGAATTTGGTTATAATATATAAGCTATCAAAAGTAATCAGTTATATTCAAGTCCTAGTAACTCAGCACCCATGCATTAAAAAAAAGAATCCTAACTGACGTAAGCGTTCTTTCCTGCTCATTGGACTCTCCTAAGATGAAAATGTCTTGTTCCAGATGTGTCTCCTTTATTCACGCTTCTGCCTGCTTGTCATAAATCCGTGTTTATCATGGCATGCGCAACAAACACTTTATTAGGAAGGAGGGATACTTGGCACTGGGAATATGATGTGCTACCAAAATAACTCCCCTGCTCCCAACTGCTTGTCTAGATGAGGAGAGAGAACAGGAGGAAAGCTGGCTTTCTACAGAGTCCTCTAAACATAGGCAAATATGACCTTAAGCTTTATGGTCCTGCCTCCTAGTTTCCTAAGCACTTGGTCTGGAGAGGCTGCTACTAGGCAGAAAGTGTTTTACCTAGTTCTGTTTAATTCTCAGCTTTGTGCATCGCGGGAAGAGCTCAGACACTAAATTGAATACGCAGAGATCTTGGCTGCCTACCTGGGAACACCATGGCTTTTCTCTCCAAGATCCAGAAAGATTTTTTTCTTTTACTTCTTCATCTCTGGCACTCAACTAGGACTGCTGCTGTTCAGAGGTCCACAATTTAAAGGCCCCAAATGAGTTAAGAAGCTTTTGGTTTGCAAAGCTTTGGGGGGATTATAGGATTGCAGACCCATAGTCTCTTTCCATCCCTGAAGTTAAATCTCAAGTTCAGTATTATAGTTTGTATAAAAGAGAACAGGCTAAGCTTGAAATTGTCTGCACCCAGGGTTCTCTTAATTCTTAGGCTAAGTTAAAGCCACTGACATCTCTCAAAAGGAACCTTGTGAGTAGAGACACTAGGCATTCTATCTCTCAGCATCTGTCTTCAGAAAGGTGAAATGCTGGAGCCAAATGCATTTTTAGTGGGTTCCCCAAAGCCCAGGGGGAGGTG